GGAAACAGCGGTAATGAAAAGCTCCTCTGACTGACTCGAGGAGGCGGCTGAAGGTGGAGGTGTTTGGGGTGTGAGACTTCTTGTTGACTGAAGCAACAGTTTCAATTTTTTTTTTTTTTATAAAAAATAAAAAAAAATGCCTAAATGAGTCCCGAGTCGCATCCAAAAGCAGCTTCCTCTCATGAATCGATTGGTGATGGATGACAGTCTGCATCTCTTCTCGATTCATTAAAAATTCAAATAAGGAAAAAGAAAAAGTAACAGGAAGTCTTAAGTAGTGATAATCTGAGCCCTGAAAGTTTTCCAACTCCTCTCATATAAAAACACACACACACACACACACACACACACACACACACACACACACACACACACACACACACACACACACACACACACACACACACACACACACACACACGCACACACACCGGTGTCTTTACCTTGTTCCAGCCCCACTGGGGCACCACGCACCCATTGTGTTTTCCTCAACTTGTTAAAACACCACATGGTGCATTTGCATAGGATAACCAACATATAGCGAATCATTTGCATGCCTGAAAGTGCACTTGAGTAACCGTAATTACACGTGACACCAATTACTCTGTTACTTTGTATTAAATTATAATGGAAAATTCCACTAGAGAATTGGAGCCTAATTGCATCTTAATTTGCATAATTTTGCATATTAATCACATCTCAGATGAATAATAAATTTAAGCAGATTTTTTAATTTATGCGCAGATACAAAAACAAGTTGGAAAAAAAAAAATCATTTGAGTGAGGAGGGGAGAAAAAAAAATCAGGAACTATTACTAAGAGCATTTGTGCTAATTTCTCTCATTACGCTGCGCTTCAAGTCAAAGATATCTTCACTCGGCATCGACGAGCCCCACCGTTTGAAATGGAGAGTTTGTAAATCCTTTAACTTAGAAACAAAACAAAAAAAACTTAAACAATGAAAAATTGAAATTTCAGAAATATTCATGCACAAATTTTTACATAAAACTTTGTGCCTCTGTCTCTCTATTGCAGGGATGCCAAATGAATTCCACAATGATAATTCAAATCACTTTCTGCACTTCCTCCCTCTCTCTCTCTCTCTCCCTTTTTTTTTTCTGGTCAACACCTGTGCCTGCTATTGTGTGTGGCTCCCCGCCAGCAGACACAGAATCCAATACCTGTAGCCCAGATTAAATTCATATTTACAAAAACAACATTTTTCCAGGTTTAACATGCCATCCTTTCTCCAGCGGAGAGTCGACCGAGGTGTTTTATAAACCTGATAATAAAAACATGAAAAGTATAATGTGCTGGTTTGAGACGGTCGTTGCTTCACTTTGTAACATTTAAACAATCTGTTAAATTTTAATAAGAATAAGCACACTGTGAGAGATGATATAATCCTTTGGTGTTGGCCATGTTTTGTGTGTTTCTGACCATATTTCCAACCCTTTTCGAACCTTAAACCAAAGTTTTGACTTGCTGGGCCCTGGACACTTGCAGGGCCCTGGGTACTCACTGGGGCCTGGGTATTTGCTGAGCCCTGGGTACTTGCTGGACACTTGCCCACTTTGCCCCTGCGGTGATCCGCCGATGTGTACTTGGGATGAAAGTAAAAACATGCCTGTTTGGCAAAGTGTGAAATGTTTTGAGTTCCTCCTTTATTTGTAATTCATGTCTGTAATCAGGACGGTCAGAGATGTGGTTATAAAAGTCAATCAACAGTTTATGTTTATCAAAATGTATGAATAAAAATGATGGAATAAAAATCTACTTCTACGAAAATAAAACATACTATTTTGTTAACTACAACAGCCTTTCAACATCGTAAAATAAGGCTATAGTCCTCACTGCAGAGGCCGTGGGTTCGAATCCGACCTCGGCCCTTTGCTGCACGTCACCCCCTCTTCACTCTCGACACCCAACATGTCCTGTCTCTCTTCAGCTGTCCTCTCTAGTAAAGGCAAAAATGGCCCAGAAATATAAAAATTAAAATAGAGATTAGAGGGTGAATGTTGCCGACTGTGTATTAAATTGGAGGGTATATTTAATACAGTTTGTAATGTTAAATAGCTGAAAACCATTTCTGTCTTTGTTATCCTGATTTATTTTAACCCTCTTGAAATGTTATGACATGAGAAGTTTTATCTGATATGACTGCAGGAATCTAAAGCTGATTTTCAGGAGTTCAAATTCAGATTTTAAAATGATTTAACTTGGCGAAAGTAAAAGATGAGATATTCTGGTGTTAGAAATGTTATTGATGATTATCGATAAATCTGACTGCAGAGGTGACCTGCCTCAAACTCTCTCTGGAGGTTTGCTCAACGCGACGGCATCTTCATTGCTTGTCAGAGGACGTGGAAACACCAGAGGTTCAGCTGTGGACAACAGTGCCTTTTAGTGGCACGACAGAGGAAAGAGCTGACACACACACACACACACACACACACACACACACACACACACACACACACACACACACACACACACACACACACACACACACACACACACACACACACACACACACACACACACACACACACACACACACACTATCTCCATCACACTGAGCTCTCTGTAAGATCGTCGACACTTTAAGCAAACCAACCTCGTGTCCCGTGTGAAGGGTCACAGAGTGCAAACAGGATTTTTTTTTTTTTTTACAAATGCTGAAATCATCAACCCCATTTGCCCCTCGATGCCAAACTTCAAAATCTGTCTTTTAATATTTTCTTGCCTTTTGTTCAATTCAGTTTTTAATTATATATCATTTTTATTTCCACCCTAAAATGATCCAACTGCATCTTAAAGGAAATCTCAATAAAGCACGGCTTATGTTTGATCCACTAAAAAATATTTTAATTTAATTGTTTACCTAAATGCAGTAAATATATTTCAGACTTGACCTCCCCTCCATGTTGTTTAAGATCTCAAAATAACAGAAACAATAAATATGACTTGACATTTGAGGTCTCAGGTCAAAAAAGGTTCAGACTCTTTTTACTGTAACAGAGATTTTAAACTATCGAGGATATTTAAAAAAAAAAAAAAGTAGATTTAAATATTATGTATGAGTCCTTTCGGCACACTTGCTAAAACATCTCAAAGAATTAATGTGATTTTTCTTCCTTTTCTTTTAGAATAAGAAGCAAAATGTGTATTTTCTGACTGCTTGTAACGTGGGCTGGTTAATATTTTATTTTATTTTAAAGACTTTTACCACATTTAACTCTACTCTTAACTTCTTGTTTGTGACCTGTTTCTTAATCATGTCATGTTTATTATGACTTGTGCTACTCTTGGCCAGGTCGACCCTTGTGAAAAGAGAACTTGATCTCAATGGGTCAAATCAAAAATAATAATTTCACTTATTTCTCTGCCTCTCCATCTTAATTTTTTCTGCCTTCTTTTCCATCCTTCTTCTTTAATTCTCTCATTCCTCTCTCCATCCTGGTTAAACACTTTGATTCCAGTGTTGCCCTGGACTCTTTAACTCTTCTTCTCTTGTGTGTTTATGTGCAGTTCTTCACACATTAATCCCACCCATGCTGCGTGGCCTCGTTAATATTCTGCTCCATCCGACTCGCAGATGTAAAAAGCATTCTCAACTGACACACGTAATTACTATGATACATCCTGGAAAGGTTTCCGTGTCTGAGCGTAATTTCAAATAAACCAAGTGCTGCGCTGCTAATTATTGATAAATAAAATTAGTTGGAGAGAACTTCAGGTGGGCGGGGCACGCGCGCAGGTGTGTGCAGAGGAGGGAGAGGGAGCGACGGGGAAACGGCGCTGACCTGTAATCACCGACAACAGCGGGGACTTAATGATGTTTTGGTCTGCTGATCAAATTTCGCATTTCCGAACAATCATTTTGGGCACCTGCGCAGAAAACAAAGCCTGGGCGGAAACCGGTGGCCCGTAGGAACAAGTGGTGGCGCGTGTGCGTGCGCGTGCATTACACTGTAAACTTTTTAGAATATTGTCTGTCTTAATAACAGGCTTACACGCGACGACAAAGTCACTTGGAAGTTGTCTAGTTCATACTCACATGCACGACGTGAGGCACATAAATAGATATTTAGCTCCCTCTTCTGGATTCTGTCAGTAAAGCCACAGTGCTGCCTTCACGTGCCCCTTGTAACTTATGGCATTCTCGTTTTAAAAAACAGAGAGCCAACCCAATCAGTACAAATATTGCCTTTAGTGGCTGTTTTGATAGTATTTAGATGTATTCAGACAAACACAATCATTAAGAAAGAGGCCACTGGTGCTCCATGAGGATGTGGTGCACGCAGACAAACAAAAGGTCTGCGTTTCTGATGGTTCGGTTTGCAAAAAAGCAACCATAATAAAGAGAATCATGCCTCCTGTTCCCTCTCGTGCACTGGTATAAAGAAAAAAAAACCTATAGGCCTGCATGCTGATCCTCTAGCTGCCTTACCGATTAAACCTGTGGTGTCCTCTCAGTGTTAGCCACATACAACACGACACAAAACTGAATTTACTAAACAAATAACAAAAGAAACTATGTTCAAAACCCAGAGCTACAGTCCTCTTTGCTCCGGCCCTTTATTTCTCCTCATGATTTTATTTGTTTGCTTTTATTTGTGAAGCACTTTGTCACCGAGTGTTCTTGAAAAATGCTATATTAAAAAGTTTTACTTACTTACCTATAAATAGTCGAATACCAAATCTATATGAGAGCATTTGACCTCCATACTTGAACTTAGGCCCGTCTCCTATAAACTCAATGTCTGGTTTACAAATATAACTGGAAAAGCTTGTTCAAATTCTATCAGCTGTCTATCAAAAAAATACAGTACAACAATGTAATGAAATACAAATAGCAGCAGAACAGACTACTATAGTAGTTATATTTCTATATAAAGAAGTGGAAGATAAATAAAATGTCAAATAAATTGAATACGATGCATCGGTCAAGTCTTGAATGTCCTATTGTACCTGAAGGAAGCAGTCATATGTGTTTACGTTGTGAGCGCGAGATGGATTGTGGGTACAGCATGGGCTGAGTTTCGTAAGGTTACCAAAGACAACAGGGACAATGGTGGCTGTTTCAGCCCCGGTCCGCAGTGTGGAAGCCGCCGGTAGAGCCTCTCCGCTCTGATGCAGCGGATCACCTGCCTCGCTGCATGCCGGGAGCTCGGCGGCCTCGCGGCTTGCTCACCCGGGCTCTGCGCCTGGAAGAAGGGCCCGACCAGCAGCCTGCAGCTGGCCTTTAGCCGGCAGCGGACGAGGGTGTGTGTGCGTCCTGCGCGCCCTTTCACGTGGGAGACCGGAGGAGGAGGTCAGGGCCGGAGGGTGTGCAGGCGGAGGGTCGTGTTCGCCGGTCAGAGACACAGACTGTTCAGCTCTCAGCCTGGAGCCGAGGAACCCCCGGGGAGACAACCTGCTGTCTCTGTGGTCGGCATCCCGGATCCCATCACGTGGATCCGGTGCAGAGTCATCATGTATCTGATCGACCTGTACTTTCAGTTAGACATCAGCTCGGAGGAGTTTGACAAAGGAGTAAAGCAGGTAACCAACAGGCCATGAACTAACTACTGAATCCATTTCTCCAGATATCATAAGTGATTAAAAAGCCTCCTATCTCCTGAACAGTACTGGTAATATCTCGTTCACGCTTTGACATGGGGGTCAGACAAGAGCCTCATAAAGATCAAAACTTAAAGGACAGATGAAAAGCTCCAGAATAGAAACGACAGGATGTAGAAATGTTTTACTTTATCTGATGAAAGTAAAAGTTTGGAGATAATTGATCAAAACAGAAACCACCAGGCTACACAATTTAATCTCAGTATGTTGAACTAATCCAAATAATCCTATAAAAGTTCTCAAGGTCTATGAAACATCTCCACCAGCATTTGTACGTTTTGAAATTCAAACTCCATCTGCTGGCAAAACCCAAGTTTTTATGTTTAGAATAGTTAGAGGAAAGTTTGACGTCGACCTTGCAGTGACAGATAATGTTGGAAGAGTTTTGATTAATGCTGCATTCACATGCTCGTAGGGTGGTTTCATTTCCCGAGTTGAGAAGCCGTCCCACCAACATGGGTCTGTTTTTAAACAACATGGATTCACAAAGAGGACTGACATGATCCACCGAGACGCAGGAGGAGAATGAATCACCTTGTGTGTTCCTCTTCCATCCCAGGCTTTGGTCCATGTCTCCAACATGATGTCAAGTGGCAGCTACCACAGGCTGGTGGGGATCGTATCCAAAGAGGTAACAGATCACACACAAAACTTCCAACACGTGTTTCACCTGAGGGGAAGCACTTTGTAAAAGAGTCAGGCAGGTTGTCACATTACCAGAATTTCAAACTTTGACCTGTTTCGTTACCATAGCAACAAGCAGAGAAGTCCTACACACACTTTTTAGGAGAATTTCTCGTTTTTAACTGCTTAAAATGAAACTCTTGCAAAGTACACTGTGCAGTTTAGACTGAGTAACCTCCTTTGCTCTGTCTGTAAGAAACATCAAAACATCAACCCGATGTAGATCCTGCAAATATTTAAGTCAGACTAAACTTCAGCCCCATAACACGTCTCGAGTTATGCACGACTGATGCTCACGGTCCGATCAGCTGTTCCCGACAAGTCAGGTGATTTTTCTGGCATGTTTGATATTTTTGGTCATACAACTGCACGCCCGACTTCTGGACTTTTTTTCCCCAACTATTGTGTCTGCACCAAAAATGACAAACAGCGTCTTATATCACCATGGCAACAGCAGGCATGCCTGTTTAATCTGTCTTCCCCATCCTATCAAGACAGAAACATTGGAGGAAATATCTGCAGACCAGAATTTTTGTCCGGATTTAACTCGTAGACTTGTGTTTGTTTGTGATGCAGATAGAGAGAGAGAGAGAGAGAGAGAGAGAGAGTGTTTTTGTCAGCGTTTGTATGTGAGCCGTGCATATTACCCTCGGTCTGCATGAGTTTTCTATTGACAATTAGAAATGTTCAGTCTTGATTTTACTCAGTACAGTGTGAGCTCTGGTCGGCCCGACAATCAGGTCGCACAGTGTAAGCATGTAAATCGTGAGCTTTGGTCGTGCGTCAGCGTCAATCGTACAGTGTACTCCTGGCTGAACTTTTATATCTTTTATGAGACGCAAAAAGGACTCGAGAAACGTCAGTATTTAAGCACTGGCTGACCTTTGAACTTGAACCGATCACCACTGTTCTCCCTCTCGCTTGCACAAACTTTGGGTAAAAGCTGGGACTGGTGATCTGTAGTTTTGTTAAAGTTTTAATACTTTTCTATAATTTCAAACACTACATGTAAACCTTCACATGTTGATATTGGGTCTAATGATCAAAAGTTATTCATTTGTGGGGATCCATATTAAATGATGATGTTAGTTTATCCGTTTTCCTGATGTCATTTTGTCATTCAGATGATCGAGTACGTTGAGAAGAGGTGCAGTTCTCTCACAGAAGCTAACAGGCAGCAGCTCGCCATCGCTATGGATGATATTGTGTTTGTGCTGCCGGAGGATGTGTCCGTCGTCTTTGACAGTCACGGTGGGTTTCATTGTGTGTTGTTTCTTCTTATTAATCACATTTTGTAATGACTGCTTAATGTATTTCATAATGGCACATTTTGTAATATAGGTTGAGAATGCCTTTAAGAAAGTAAAAACAGGGATACTGTCCACTGATGTGCAAACAAAGAAACATGTACAACAGCTCCAGAAGGACATTTGAAAAAAACTGTGCCTAGTGTTTATTTAAAAAAAACACAAAGCAGTGCTTTTGAAGTAGCTGGTGAATTATTTAGAGTAGAACTGTTGATGGCAATGAGCCACTTGGACTAACTAGCCTACATGTCACCGGAAGGTACCTGCATAATCATTTCTTCCAGGAGTTCCCCAAGTCACAAAAGGTCTAATGTTTTGTCTGGATGCTCTCTGTTGTCTGTCTTTATCTTGCAGGTAGAAAGTTCTGCCATATCACCATGAGGTTCTGGTGTCTGTCAACACATGAAGGTCCTGAAGACCCCGAGGGCACAAAGTTATTCAGAGTGTCCTCAAGTGAAGACGGCAGCCCACCGAAGAAAATCGTCACCGCAGTCTATGAGTAAGCACTCCGCTCAGCTTCTGAACGCATTTGCAATCATGCCACACATCCAAAAGTATGGATTACAATCAAATCTCCCCTCGTTCACATTTTGCATATCCAAATCTATTTCAGGCGTTGTCTTCCTTCTCCTATAGCTCCTTTTTGATCATTAATTTGCTCAGCTGTTGTCTGGTTTATTTTCCCATATAGAGCATGCTGAATCACAATCAAAACGGTACAAATATTTACTCAGACAGATAATTATATGTTGGCAAAAGCTCAGTTACCTGCTGGCTTCCCAGCATATGGCTCTTCTGTTTTTGTTTGGCAGGAAATGGAGCCAGAGCTGACGTTGGTGATTTAAATGTTATTCCAATATATATAGATATATCTATATATATACGAAGGATCATGTTGGAGATTATTCTCAAGTGTTTTGTGTACGTGGATTGGAGTTCAGCTAATATTTAATGCCTTATTTAGTGAAATGGTGAAGGTGACATTTATTTCACTGGAGGACTTCAACTCATAACATTTAAAGTAAATTCACACAAATTGACGCTTTTGATTTTCACTACAAAGGTCATGGAAACAATTCAACTAATTATGTTGGATTTACTCATGTTTCTGTCTTACTCAGAACATTCTCTGAACCCCTCAACAATCATCATCTATCTGACAGACGATCAGGGTGGCTCACCTGATCACAGAGCGGTTACAGTTGGGGTGAACTGATTAACGATGCGGGAGAGTTTGGTTTTGTGTTTGGTGGTGAGGGAGGATGAGATATTAAAAGTGAGGATGGATTCAATAAGTGATCGGTAAACCAGAGTTAAAATGTGCTGACATGAAAAGTCCTTAGTTTCCTCATCAGGTGGAGGCGTGGTATAACGGGGTATCTTAAATAGCTGTGGCTGCACATAACACACATTACAAGACTCTGAGTAATCCAGAAACAAGTCTGTCTCATCTCTAAACTACATAAATACAACAGAAGTAATGTAGGAAAAAAAATGTAAGACAGTTTGCAAATTTGGAGTTCTTTCTTCCAAAAATAGACCACAAGAGGCTAGAGATCCAAGATGTCTGTGTAGTGATAGTCAGCCAAAAACCAAGAAGACAGAGAAAAGAACATGATGTACTATTAGTGGTGTTAAGACTCTTCCCACTCATATCTTCCTCGTCCAAAACCTTGGGCTGTCTTCAGCTCAGAGGTCCTGACAGCTTTCATTGCAGTTAAAAACACATTTGAGACTACAGGTGGAGGATTGCACACAGGTCCGGATACTTAGCCAGCTTTAGTAGGTAGCTTGTGTGTTGCAGAGCCTCAGCTCGACTCTCAGATCGCATCTTAAAACATTCACACTTAAGCAAATTGTTGCTCACAGGGGCCAGCGCCCATCTGTCTCTGCTCTGGGGCTTTTTTGTCGGCACTCGTAAAAATGTTGGCGAGTGGACAATCAGAGCTAGAATTGAATAGTGTGAGACTTAAGTTCCTACTTGGCAAAAGATGTCCAAATAATCAAATCTTGTACAAGCACTATAACAATTAGACAAGCTGTTTCCTTGTAGTTTTTTTTTTTGTTTTTTTTTAATCGTCATTTTTGCCAACTGCATGGATGAATTTCTCGGTATTTAGAAAATTGCTTTACAATGAAGCAAGCACGAGAACAAAAGTCCCATCATAACACGCCGTCTTTCTATTCTTAATTACCATCAGACGTGTGGAGACAGACTCTCGTCCTGTGACAGAACAAACAAAAACTATTCGTCCTTGGTATCCATGTTTCTCACAGCTGCTGAGGAACAGCTGATTGATGCCAAATACCGTTCATGCATTTTAACAGCTGCTTTCTAAAATGTCTTTGAATGAAGTTGTAAGGAAAAAGGGACGCCATGGTCACCCGTTTCATCTCCTTTAAGCTACATGAAGCCAGCATTGATGGTCTTCTTCTGCGTGTGAATTAGTCCTTTGACTCCTTGTTCAAAAAGAAGCCTGCTCTGTTTGGGGGAAATTGCTGCGGTCACACAAAAAGGAGGAATAATTTCCCTGCCAGTGCATGTCCCATTCAAAGCCTCTTTCCTGATTCAATCTGTGATCTGCTTGGTTGCGGGACTAAATGCTGTGGCTGTTAATGCCCAGTTATCTAGTTAGTCAGATTATAGTTCTTATTGTTTCAGGTCTTAGAACATCTAGTGGATAAGCCTATTCAAACTTCCAAGTTATTCCAACAGCTAGCAAACCGTCTGACAGGATAAAGAATCCTCACCTCGATGTTGTGAAGATGAAACACCAGAAGAACTTTAGTCTTGGTCAGTTTGCTTCTTTCCTTCAGAACTTTGAGTCCGCTAGTACTACTAAAATTGAATTCAGGATGCTCTTCTTAAATGTTCAATAACATGGTGCGCTGGTGGCGCATTGGTTAGTGCGCACACCCCGTGTATGGAGGCTGTAGTCCTCCAAGCGGGCGGCCCAGGTTCAAATCCAGCCTGTGGCTCCTTTCCCGCATGTCATTCCCCACTCTCTCTCTCTCTCCCTGATTTCCAACTCTATCCACTGTCCTATCTCTCCAATAAAGGTGCAAAAAGCCCAAAATAAATGTAATTTTTTTAAACTTCAATAACATGAGTATGCATTAGAAACGGAGTATGCATGATTGAGAACAGTTTGGAGTACGGTGGCCCTTAAGGTCAACTGCAAAAGAAATTAATGAAACTGAAAAACTAAATGATTTTAAAAGCGTGATAAATATTTAATGAAAAGCAAAAAAAATAATGTGATGCGCAAAAAACTTCTCATGAAACAAAACCGATCCACTTTTTTTCAGCTGCAATCTGATTCCGATACATAAACGTATGTACCGATACTGATGCTTATATCTGTATATTTATACTTGTAGTATGTGTGAGGCTACTCACAGCTGTAGTTGTGAGTAACAGTTGATCATCAGGGCTGTTGAATGGAGGCTGTTTTACTTTCAGGTCCCGTTAAAAAATGTCTGCCTATTCCCTCCAGATTCCACCGGGAGTTGACGAGTGGAGCCTCTCCTGACTGGACGGTCACAACCATTTGGCACTGGCACTGGAAAATGGCTGAGTGATATGAACGACGCCGTTAGTGAGTCATTAACACAACATGCGGAGTACCGCTTTACTGAAACTGGACCACAGACGAAGACACTGACCACATGAAATGGGACCCAGAGCCGTCACTGATGTGCTATGCAGACACCTGAACATGTCAGAAGTTCTTTAATGAATTCTTGTTCCTACTTGAAGGTCGACCTCAGACCATACGATGCCTTTAAAGTCCCACTCCATGGATTTTAATTACACAGCTAATTACTGTATGACTCCACTGAATAAACTGTAGAACATGAATCCAGTGTCTAAAACTCTTTTTGAAAGTATCTGTTGAATACTCCCGAGTACATCCATATACTAGATATGTCACTGGAGCTTTCAACAACATATCACAGTCATCTTCTGCATGTGGCAATTAGAATACCTAAAGGAGGTAAGAAATTAGCTCAAAGATGGCCGTCGTTGCCACATCAATAAAGTTGCTTGATAACTGTACTGTAGGTCAGGTGTCTGAATGACAACCAAGAAAATGTCATCCACCAAAGACGACCAAGAGATGCACTCTTAACGGTCAAGAGAAGGTTAATCAGATTTCACTGTCACTTTTTCAGAGGTCAAGACTGAACAGTAAAACTCAACTCCATCAAGTTTAATACAGTCAATATTATGCATCAATAAATCTTTGCACCATGGTGTACCATCAACCATTGAATGTATGCTTCTGACCCAGCCTTAAGATCTGTTTACATGGACTCTAATACTGCAACAAAAACTCAGAAACAGCTCAACAAAAGTTAACTGTCATGAAACTACCTGAAACAGAATGACAAGGCCCAATCGAGCAGTATCAGTATTCATTTTTAATAAGGTTGGGAGAGGTAGTGTTTACCTTTGTCATGCATGAATTACAAAATCAGGTTGTCTGCTTCAACTGCTTGCAAGTGTAAAGATCACTTTAAACACCTGAATCTGAATCAGTAATCAGGATGATTTTAGTCAGGCTAAAGGCTAAAAAACTAAGTACAACTAATGACATTGTAGAGACAAAATGCTGGGAAACTACAAACTACAACACCCACTTCTCAAAATGTCACTATTGTAGTACAATGTGTTTAGACAGAGCTGTCGTTCACTTGATATGTTTAAGAGCATCTCGAAGCCTTGCGTATCCTGCGGTGGTTTGGAGCGTTGGTTTGTGCACGTCCTCAGAAATTAACGCTACACGTCCGCAAGCTGCAATATGCATATATAACCACCAGGAGCAGTGTAGAGTTGGACGGTGATGAGACTGGAAGTGACAAGATCGGAGACACCAGAGAGCTGCTTCAACAATGGCGGTAAGTTTTGAAGAAAAGTTAAGAGATCAAGTCTTACCCGCACTATGAGGTGTCATTGCCATCAAACATGCATGCCCAACTAGCTTGCGACGGATCATCTTTACTTCTGTGTTTTACCCGTCTGATTTACGTGGTGCTCCCTCTAGAGGAATCTTCCAGTAACATGCGTTGTACATAGGCAAGTATGTGAACATTTACGCTCCCGTTGCAGCAGGTTGTCTTCGTGTACATGTGGTTCAAACGCAAGTTGAGCCTTAAGGGACTAGGAACAGGTATTTCACACAACTCCCACAATACGATACATATCGTGATATACATTGATTTTGGATAATGACCATGACCCACACAGAATTCACCACAACAGCAGTTCTTTTATTGTTCAGAGTAACAGCAGCAACTTCAAACATTTCACTTAAGCTCTTCAGCTGGGTGTGTGTGTGTCCTTGTACTGTTTATCAAGCAGGTGCTTTACAGATAGACAAGAGATCAGATTAAAAGTCCTCCAAGTGACAGAAAATTAAATTGCTTTGCTGAAACAAGATTTAAAATTCTGTCAGTAACGTCCCCGTCAATTTAAACGAGCTAGAACAAATATTTTCTCAGATAGCGCAGTCGTTGCCAAAAACCTGTTGTTTGTGAAAAACATCCGAGTCATGGCAGGCATCTCGTCTGTGCATCAGACTTTTCTGTTAAAGCTAGAAATATAAATACTGATATCTGGCAAACAGGATTCTGTCATTATCGGGTCCTTATTCATGCATGATGATTAATAAGGATTATCCTCATTTTTGCTGCATTATTATTCGGTGTGTGGAAGTTTGTGTGGGTTTTTTCTATTTCTTTTGGTTCCAGCGGAGCGTCATACTGAGTCATAATGAGATTAAACGAGTGTGGTTAGCTTAGCACATGTCAATAAGCACATGGGTATGATGAGAGCACATTAATTAAACACGCGTGACGATCATTAGGTTTAATGAAAACAAGAAAAAAAAACGTGCTGAATGTGAAAAAAAAAGCTAATGATTTTTTTTTATTCACAATTTTCCGACATGTTGATGATTCGACGCCGAGTGCCAACCTGTTCCATTAATCCTGTTAGCGAGGCAGATGCACACAATTCCTCCTACCTCTTTGAAAGTGTGCGTCTGTTTTGTACGTCTATGCGTGTATGAGCTCTTAGAAACCGTGCAACAATTGTGCAATCTCTGTCACACTGCCATTTCAAGTTGGATTACTAGAATATGATAAACATGCTTGAAAATCAAAAACTCTGACAGAACAAATAAAGTAAACCTCTTTGTATTTACTTATGTGTTTTGTCAGCATTCAAAGAGTCACACCAGCAGTGACAATATAATCCAGTTTAATTAACCAAAGATCTCACACTGTGTCACAGCAGCTTAGGTGAACTAATAAAAGATGAGAAGCTATCACTGTAAGAAAAGTGACAAGTTGACAACACTAATGAGCCGTGTAAATTCATGAAATCTATTCTTATCTTTCTACATAGAAAATGATTCACTTTAAAAAGACGTAAAAGGGGAAAAACAGACAGTTCACTTTAAATGTTAGGTCCTGTGACGAGGCGGTCTCTGCTGGAAAGGAGCTGTGTTTTTCTTTTGCTCTCTGAGAAATAAGTAAAGACCCAGAAGTCATTATGACAACAATGAACACATTCTGCCATATATTTCCAATACCACTACATGTGTTTGGGTCATTACCCCGCCTGCTGATGTGCCCCCTGCTAGATAAAATAATATAAACCTGTTCAAGGTTAGTTGAAATGTTTCTCCTCTCTGATGTACACTCTGCATGTGATCGTGCAAACAAGAGCTTTGCTGTTGTTCAAAATGATGGTTATGAAGCTCAAGAAGTGGTGTGATTCTGCATCACAACATCACAGAGGAGCAACCTGATGCCCACTGAGAAATAACAAAGTGTCAGTCTCTATGTCAATTATTACAACACTATTTATTTCAGATAGTGTTGCAGGTACAGTACAGGGCTTTTTCTTTATAAAACACTCTCTGATTGGGTGCTCTACTAGGCAAAGAGGCCTTTAAAAGAAGCCTTCAGTTTCTATGCTCCTCACCTGTAAAACATCATTCTTGAAAACCTGACACCTGTTTAAATTGGACTCAAACTGTTATTTTTACTGAAGATTTTCAATAAAGTGAGTCTGCATCTCTTCAACTCTTGCTTTCTAAGCATACTTTGCAGTTTTGTTTTTGTCTTTACAGTTCCGTTTATTTATTGTTGGTCTGTTTTAGTTCTTTCAAATATAAATTGAACGTGTTCTTAATGTCTGGTTATAAATGCTTTTTCTGCAGCCCCATACAGTTGTATTAATTGGTTCAATACAAAGAAACGTACCTTACCCTGCCATTTTACCTTAATGAAATTCTACAATTCTACAATTCTACAATTCACTGAGCAGATACTTTTATCCAAAGCGACGTACATCAGAGATGACAGAAATAACATCCAAAAATACTTTCATCCTCCCACCCGAAAGAAACAACTGTTATAAAATAAAAATAAAAAGACTGATTTAAACCGAGAACAAATGGGTTCATTCTTGTTGAAGTTTTAATGCCGTGTCATTCTGTTTGTTTTGTTTCAGCAGATAAATCACCACAGTTATGATATAGTAAGTGTATGAAATTTAAAAAAAGGACACCTTCCTCTGGATTTCAAATGAGTCAGTTTCACACATGCATGTGATAAATTTTTTTTTAAAAAGTTGAAATTTAGATTTAGGAATTGGCTTTACCTGTCTTTGCTGTTATTGTAGTATAGAGTGAGATTTTAGATCATGGATGTACTTCAGATAAATGTCTACTCAAACATAACTGGTGAACATCGTCTTAAATGTAACACCAGCTGAATCTTGTACTTCTTTATCTCATTACATTTGCACTACCTGAAAATACTGTGGAGCTTTATCTTTTTTCTGAATGAAGCGGATATTGTCTGGACTGAAATATTAACTGTGTGGAGGAAACACTGTGCTGGTCAACACCTATTGAGCATCACATTGCTTTTATTTCTTTGAGTACGTTATGGAAGTCCTCAACACAAACCTCCCCTGAAGGATGCTTCATGGACGCCAGCTTCCAGGCCTCTTCAAACGTCTCCTCAGACAAAGTCACACCCACATTCTTGAAAATCTCTGCGATCTGTGACGATGAGAGTGTGAGAATCCTTTAATTATTCCAATAAAACATTTTACTCGCAGTGAATCTGACTCTGATGTTTAGGTTAACTGCTTTTCCCTCACTAGAACATACCTCTGTTTTTGTGCGAGGACAGACAAGGTGCTCCTCATAAACACCCTGACTGGCATGAACTGATGGATAAAGGAGATCTCTGGCAGTGGATGTGTCACCGTAGTTGGTCGTATCACTAACTCTTTTTATGCGGGGAGCAGGAAGGTCGGAGCGCATGGACGGGAGCCCATAGGTACGGCTGCCTTTGTTAAGACAGACCACATGATGAGGAAGGATGTTAAGAAACTTAGAACATTTATCATAAGAAGGGAAAATAAACTAAAGCATATCAAATAAAAAATGAAGTCCTAAAAAAGGTGTGTTGCAAAAGAAATGAAGGTGTTAGTTCCTCAAGAAGTAATTCAAGTTTGTTTAAGTTTAAATGACCAAGACTTATTTCCAGTGTTATGCCTACACTTTTACTTATTGGCTTTAAATAATTATTTAGAGTATTTCACGATGCACTTTTATCCTTCAGTTTGTATTCAACTGTTCTGGGATGGTTACCAAAAGTGACAGAGTTAGCTCTGTGTGCACAATCTGGCAGCAAATGTTTTATGTTGTCGCCCACAGATAAGCTTTTTAGATTTTAGAAGACTTTTTAAAAATCAGTTTTAAAACACAAACGTGTAGCAGGGAATACTAACCTGTATGAGTATCTGCTGTACAACCTACTAATAATCACATCACACATGTCTGACTTACTTGATGCCAACCGGCCATCACTGGAAGACCCGATGAGGGAGGAGGACGTCCTAAAGTGTTCTGTGACTACCCTGGGTCGCCTCAGAGTCTTGAGGGTCTTAAGTGAGGTTCCTGGCTGGACAGGCTCCAGGTCCTCAGGCTTAACCAAGACCTCAGAGGAAGAAGGCTGTGCTGATTCTGATGACGTCTTCCTCTCTATGTTTGCTGGAGCCCAGCTGGTCTGACGCTCTGCAGGAGAAAAAATAAACACAAAAAGAAATCCAGAAAATTCATCCACCTGCATTCACTTGAGCTGCCATGACTTGAAAACTTTGGCTTTTTCTTCCCAAGCCTGATGTCAGTGATGTTGTCTGAAACACCATAAAGTTACCCGTCCAGTTTTTCAATCCAGCAGAAGAAATTAATGCTTCAAAGTGTGACTTATTCGCTGAGTAATTCTTGAAAAGCACACCCTCTCTACTCTCTAGGAGGGGTGGGATTAAATATTTGAATGGCAATATATCATCACCCAGACTTATGTGATGCAATCTTCATAAAGCCAGTCCCAAATACCAATAATTTGAATGAAAAAATGTATGAGGACATAAACTGATTATCTGGGATTCCCACCCCCTACTCTCTAGGGCTACCAGGAACCTCATTAAATAAACTGATTTATTACAAAGCGTCAACTGACCATTTGTCTTGTAGAATTGTCCATGACTTTTGATAGGCATCGTGTCCTTCCAGTTGAGGAAATTTGCAAACTCCAGGAAGTTGATTTGTCCATCTCTGTCTAGGTCGCAGTAGTCCATCAGGTCATCTATAACCGGCTCACTCACACCCAACTGGAACTGACTGCACACTGCCTGCAGGTCCTCTTTGTCAATCATCCCTTTGCCTTTCTATTGATTAGCATAAAGACAGACACAAGAACATGTTATATGGTATGTTTAAGTTTGTAACTATAGACGAATTATTGTTTCATTGTTACAAGTTTTAGTTACACTTGTGCTTTGTCTGATATAAAGATATAAAATAGTCCCCAATGAGAAAGGACTGTGCTCTGGTTCCTTTGATTATCAGCCTGTAGTGACTCCAGCCGTACCCTGTCATAATGACTAAACGCCTCCAGCAGGGAGGGGAATTTTTGGAAGTTGGCTGTCTTGAGGTGGTTTCGCACTGCGTTGACCAAGCTGCGCTGTCGATCTCGGCCTCTCGTGTACTGGCCAGGCTCTGCCGAGTGGATCAACTCTCCAACTCCTTCGCAGAAAACAGGCAAAATTGTATTTTTATAACTTGCCCCTCGGCTTAATTTAGTTTGTCTGTTTTCAAGGACACAACATGTGTTCCAATATGTAACCCAGGAGGGAATATTTTCAAGTCATTAACCTATTTCATCCACTGGTATGAGGTTTCCATGGGGTTGATCTGGTGGTGCACTCGAGCTTTTTCCTTCCCTGAAAACATAAAAAATTAATTAAGTTAAACTATAGCTATTAAATATCCGAGGTCAAATAATTGGACAGAAGAAGTTTAACTGATGCTTACATTTTGTTTGTTTGCCCAAGTGCTGCCATCATCTTTTCCCTGTTTCCAGATCTCATCCAAACAGTCGTTGGATTGTAAAACCTGTTCAAAATTAAGTATAATGGAAATGTCAGGTAAGATTAGGTTTTTTTAAGGTGAGAAATGCAATGAGTGTTTGGGAGATTAAAAACAAAGCACTTATTTGAGGTCCTACTTCTGTGACTCCCCCAGCCAGCGAAGAGTTTTGCAAGTATCCCTTCCGTCTTTGAAATGAGGTGTGAGGATCCCGAACCTACTGTCTTTGCTGTAGCGACTCCAGTCATAGTTCCTATCGATCCTCTCACCTGAACATGAACATTTGATTGTGGTGGGAGTGACAAGCAGATTTATAATGACCAAAACAATCCCCCAAAAGGTAGATGGTAGTTACAGTAAGGGCATTGTGCATGATAAAATATCTGATTTTCTTACCGACAAAATAGGCGTTGTGGCTCCGTATGTAGGACTCATGTCCCGCCTGAGCTTTCTCCTCCACCTCCTCAGTTGTTGTTGAAGGGTGAATTATCTCTCTCACATCTGGCCCTGGACCAAAAGCAACAGGATTCTTAAGTACAGAGAGGACTTGTTCTGATTTGATTAATACTTTCTGTTCATGTTACCAAACTTAAGTCTATTATCTTTTTTAAAATAAACATTCTGTACCTTTTACTATTTTCACACCAAATGTAGTTTCGTTGTTATACCAGCTGGGAAGTCCAACAAGAGAAACGTCTGACCTCCCCAATGGTGCTTTTTTATTAGAGGTGTAACCTGTCTCACTGAGCTCTTGCAATTTCTCTTGGAACAAGGTCTTTTGGGGTGGATTTATCAAGCTGCTGCCCTATAAAGTAAAACAGAAATAATATGTGAGCAGATAAACTTTAAATGCACACAGGCAATAATGAATTATTCAGGTTAGGAAGGACAAAGGTTCTGAGAGCCCAAAATATCATCACCAAACAGAGAAGTTAGTGATTGATCTGTAATCATCTAGAATATATCAACCCACCAGATCAGTGGTCTTAAAAAACCTTCCTTTATGCCTCTTTTACCCAAATATGTTGAGTGTATTATTAATGTGGTACTCACACTGAGGCAAGATTTGGTGCTGATGCCGTGGACAAGGGTGCTTGCCACATCTGGATCATTTGCCTTCCCTTGGTGCACTCGGATAGCTCCTGGTTTTGGTTGGGTGCTGTTGCGAAATTTCCTTACCACTGGTGGCGTAGGGGGCTGGAAATGAAAAATAAATTGATAGATCACTGAGAATAAACACGCACCTTCAACTTTTAAAACTGTCTGCTGCTGCACATTGTGACCTTCCATCCAGTTGTACATGTTTTTAGTATCTGTACTCTCCTTACGTATTATTTTTTGGGGTGACTTAATACTTTTGTTTGTTTTGGGGCTTTTTTATGTCTTTATTAGAGAGATAGGACAGTGGATGGAGTCAGAAATCGGGGAGAAAGAGAGTGGGGAACGACATGCAGGAAAGGAGCAAAAGGATCAGATTTGAACCCGGGCCGCTTGGAGGACTATAGACTCCATACATGGGTCGCACTAACCACTAGGCTACTGGCTCCAGCAACGTAACACTTTTACCCTACTACATTTTTATGAACGTTCTCGTTTCTCGCTACTTTTGCTCTGAGGTCTCTGAAGTGATGAGTTTGATTTTCTAAAACAAACACAGAGCAAGCGTAACTCTGATCATTTAGTGTTGGTAATGATCGCTACAGCAGAGAAGGATGAAGATTCTCCACAGGAGCACCAACCATATCTTAAGAAATGAGATTTTTCTCTCAATGTGTAAAGCCTGGCTGATATTTTCCCTGCTCATCAGTTATTTTAGGTTGTTCCTATGATTCTTCCTTTTATGTTGGAGCTGCAAATATGGAAGTCTGTAGTATGTGAGTTTAAAAAATGTAAATAATGTTTTATAAATAAACATAAGGTAGCAAACTCGTGTATTTTTGACTGTACTGCATTGTGAAAATACAAAAATGTTTAAAGATGAAGTAGTTTGAAAGCAAGTTATCCAGTACTTTTACTCAAGTACTTATTTGACTGAGCAGCTTTCAGTTGTATTGGAATAATATTTGACCAGGTGTATCTATACTTATACTGAGTCTAGTTATTAAATTGTGTGCTTTGTCCACCACTGATAGTAGTATGATTTAAATACATCACTTAGCACATATATCTCAACAAAAATGGTCTTACCCTCGCAATTTCTTGTAAGCAGACATTGGCAGTGTCTCCCAAAGGCTTTAGTTTTCCAGCCTGGTGTGAAAAGAAACATTATGTTTAGTATCCAGTGCTCAGTACAGTATATCCGCTGGGGAAAAGAAGTTTACTGAAAGTTAGCTACAAGGATTAACGCTAAACTAACGCAGTGTTAGCTAGTTAACTCAGAGTTGATTTACCGGTATGTTTGGACAGATAACCGCATTTTTCAGGGGGTAACAAGTATGTCTGCCGGTCGTATTCATCGTAAATTCACCAAGGTAGCTTTGGTCGTTGTCTTCTGCTTTAAACAGCCGTCTGTCGTGCCTTGGGAAAATTTAAATCCACTTTCTTGCTAGCTACCTGCTCCAAACTCTTTCACTGGACGCTGGAGAAACGGGCACCTGACTGTTTGGGGTTTAGTTGCCTAGCAACATCAGTCAGTTCAATTCAAAATGCGGTTAAAGCTGTTTTTAAATACTTTTCATTTCTAATTTCCGGGCAAGCTGATAGGAATAATCAGAAATTGGATTTGTTCTATATGTGTGACTAAAATTAAAAGTTCATTGCAGAAATGGCGAATACAATTTTTTTTTTTTAATAATCCACGCAACTACGTCACAGTGAATCTCCTCTTTCTTATCAAATATCCTGCTGAACGCTTTGAAAATCATTCATTGTTTTTTTTTTTTTAAATTAAATTCAGTAAGCTTTATTGGCATGAATGGGATAATATTGTCAAAGCATATAATAAAAAATAATAGCCTATATCAATAATAGTAATTACTAGTCATAATTACTCATTCAATAGTTTCAACAATAATGATATAAATACATTATATATATATATATATATATATATATATATATATATATATATATATATATATATTAAAGGAATGATCCTGTTCTGCTCCTGTAAAGGTTTCACATTATCCTTGCACAAATAGCACTTAGTTAGTGTATCTGCTCATTATAACATCTGGCCATAGTATCAGCAGATAACATGTCAGCACTCTTAATTTGCACTTTAAAATATGTAATCACTGCATTTTCACAGCTCTACAATGTATACTGCACATTTACAACTGTGATTATTGTTTTGCACATTGACACCTATGCCCTCCAGCAAAGTATGTTTACAAATTTGTTTAAATTCAGTTATACAATCTTGTCTAATTTAGTTTTTCTTTATTTGAGACTTAGAAGTAATTTTTAGCTAAATTATGGATGTATAAATATCTGTATTTTATTTCATTTTTATGAATAGTTGTTAGGGTTTATTTGCTCTGTATTTATTATTATTTTGTTTTAATTATCTATCTATCTATCTATCTATCTATCTATCTATCTATCTTTCTATGTTTGTTAAGGAACTCGCTATTCACAGATATCAGTTTTATAGAAGATAAGTGTAGTGGCTATTTGTCCAAAAAACAACAAAAAAAATCTAGATAAACTAATATCAAAAATAATCAAATGACCACTGATGCACCATGGGGATGTAATGTACGCAGGCAAAAGAAATCCAATGTCCATGCAAGAGCTGCGGTATTTTGCTGGTTTATTTGAGGAAAACAAACAAAAGAACGAAGAAATCGTGGCTCCCGCTGCCTCTCTTGATCTGGTAAAAAAAAAAAACAATAGGCTCACCCAGGTGCATGCCGGTCCTCCACCTGCCTCTTACTTAAATAATCTCCGGTGCCCACAGTATTACCCAAATACCTAACAAAAATACTAATACAAAACTAAATTTACTAAACAAATAACTAGCAAAAAAAGAAAACGTTACCCAAAATATTTTCTAAATAAAGAAAACGTGTAGGATAGGATAGGATAGGATAATACTTTATTGATCCCCAGAGGGGAAATTCGGGCGTTACAGCAGCACAGACAAGAAAGCTCGAAAATACACATTTAACAGAATAGATAAGATATTAAAAAAATAAAAATACAAATAAAAACAGGGGGTATATACAGTACAAAATGAATGATGAAGTTAACTGGGGGGAATTGAGAATTGAGACAGTATTTTCAGAGAATGACAAGATAAAATGACAAGTGATTAAAGTGACTTGGTATGATAAATAGCAGGGTAAACAAGTCATGTAAACAGCAGAGAAGAGAGGCAGTGTTGTACCACAGTACTGCAGAGTGCAGTTATATAATATAATGTAGTATAATATAATATAATATAGTGCAATATGAACAATATAGTGTAGAATAATTAAATAAACAACACCACCCAAATATTAGTAAACTAAATCCAAAAACTAATTCTAACCCCAATTAAATAGCTCCAACAATAAGCATTGTTTACTTTCATTCTCAAATGGGTTACATTAGTAATTTCCCTGGAAAGGTAAATTGGGAATAAATCCTCGAATGTGATTGGTCCGTCGCACCGTGACGTAGGCGGATTGTCAATTCCAGTCATACGATCTGTCATCATCATCGTTCGTACAATGCGAAAAGGGAAGTTGAGAGAAGTGGGAGAGGGACATCACGGAGCCTTATGAAATCAAACGCCACAGGAGCTGAGTGGATATCCGACACATTGTGAAGTGCTTCGGTCCTTTGCCTGGAGAGACACACAGCTTCCTCCTTTTTGTCGGTAAGTGGTTAATATTAGCGGCTCTCTGAGAGGGCTCCTCCCGATGCGCTGACCAGACCCATGTTAGCTAACCACAGCTAGCACACACTGGAAGGGCCGAGCTAGTTAGCACAGTAACTTGACGTTGTACACCTGGTGAATTTTCGCATCAGAGGTCATTAATCAATCATTAATACGTATACAAGAACAAACATTAATTGCAGCCAACATCTGCGACTCTATTTAGTCAACAGTCGGATAATGCTAAACAAATTAGCGTCATGTTGCTAATGCTAGCTAGCTGTCATTAGCTGTACACACCCAAAACTGCATCATCTGTGTTTTGGTGTTCTCAAAACGTCATAAAAAAAAATGTCAGATGTAGTGTTTAGGAGCTTGACATTTATGATGCCACCCAGTTAAAAGTTAAAGTAACACAGATTACGTTTTAAATGACTAACAGAGGAGGATTTGTTTTGGTCTAGACGTTTTGAACAGACGAGTTTTGCTGTGTTGCTAACGCTAGCTGTCGTTACTCTGCTAATTCCAGATAGTCAACAACAACAACAACAACAACAACACAACAGGTTATTTGTGGTTAACTGTGTGTCGTAACGCGATTTCAGACTTTATTCTCGGGCCTGAATGCTCCTGTGCTCACTTGTTAGCTGGGAATGAGAAATGTGAAGGTTACAAAAGAAGCTGTTGTTGTCTAGTTGTTGAGGTAAGATAATAAAAAAAACAAGTCTAATTTAACCTTGATAGATTATTTCACATATTTGCGTCATACTTATCCCCCTTTTGAAACCATGTCTCAAACAACACAATGCTTGAAGCAGAGATTTTCACCTCTACACCAGTTGGTCTAGTTTTCTCTCATTTCTTAAAGTTGATAAAGGTGAGACACTGGCAGCTAAAAGAGTTTAGATTTACCGACTCTCTCTCTGTCTCTCTCTCTCTCTCTCTCACTGTATCTGATACACCTTTGTATCTTTTTGCCATACCTCTCTCCCCTTTATTTTGCTTTAATAATTATGGCTAGCAACCTGCTATTGTTAGGAGAGAGACACAGTGTGGCTGGTAATTTGAAACTCTGTTGACTTAGTTTGGCCTGAACTACAGTAAGGTGTCCTCTATTGTTATTCCCCTATCGCTTGATAATGACTGTTTGATTTTTAAGAAATGTGGCCATAACAACAGCATAAAGTTACACAGTTGAAAATCCTGAATATCCCCCATATGTTTGAATTAAATGGATACATTTTGAGTTTCTATTCTCTGCAATGTTTACATAAAGTATGGTGAAATATATTTAAAATACTTGATTTTCAAGTTGTCTTTATACCTGCTGCTGGACAAAGAACCACCAACAAAAGGGGAATGGATAGCAAGTGTAATGGAAATGTATAACAGGGAGGACATTCTTTATTTATGTTAAGACTCTTTGTTTTGTAAAAGTGCAATCCTTAAAACATGTTTAAAAAAAGATGTGTTTGTACTCTTAATGGGTTTAAATGTTAACATTATTATTACAACAATAACCGTGGGTGCTGCTTTTGTGAATATAATCCATAAGCTTCTGTTGATGTATAAATAATAACACGGGAAAAGTGCTTTAGGTGAAAAAAAAACAGCTGCTTTTCTCCTGAATGTTGATGTAAAGCAGAAGCATCTGTCCTTCAAGCCCTGTGCATATTTTAACCAAAAAAACCTTTATCTATGAATGAAATAAGGTGTAAGTGATCTGTGCTATGAACATCGTTTAGGCTCAGCAACCTCAAAAGGAAATACTAAATATGCCTTAAATATTAAGAATACAATGAGTTTGCTACCATAATCTTTAGCTGATTAGATCATGAAACTGTAGTACCTCACTTGAAACATTCATGATTCATGGTGGCAGATAATGAACTACAAAATACTTAATATTAAACAGAAAGCAAGTCTGTACACCAAGACAATGTCCTGGCATTTATTTTGTTTTTGTATGTTTGTGTGCTTGTGTGCGTGTGCATGCATGTGTCCTATGACAACCTGTGACATTGTGCTTTCTTTTTCTCCCTCCTGCTCAGGTATTTTCTGCGGTTTTCCACAGTACGTCAGCGTGCAGAGTAAGAGACCAGACAGTGTGACATGGCAAGTAGAGGCGGAGCTACACGACCCAATGGGCCGAACGCAGGCAACAAGATCTGCCAGTTCAAACTTGTGCTTTTAGGAGAGTCGGCTGTGGGGAAGTCAAGTCTCGTACTTCGTTTCGTCAAGGGGCAGTTTCATGAATTCCAAGAGAGCACAATTGGAGGTATGGATTTGTAAAGGGCCATACTGTGGCTGTGTACAGGAGATATTATTACTGTTGTACTTGTATTAACCTGGTTGTCGTAGAGAGACTGGTTATGAATCACACACTAAAATAAAGATTTAATATGCTGCTCATAGTCTCAGTTGGACAACAAATATCTGTGATATGAGTCATGACTCCCGGGGGGCCTATACTACGAAGCGAGTTAAACATACCCACAGTGTCTTCGGGTTATCTGGCATCAATAACACATAAACGACCGTGATTAACAGTCATACAAAGCTGGTTATCAACCTGGTAGGTAAAACTTAAAGGGGTGGTGTAAGCTTCATTTAACCTATCACAATCATAACTGCGTCCGCTGTCAGCAGATGGCCATATCTAAAAAACTCTTAACAAACTATATTAGCAATATGAAGACACTCAAGGACTAAAGTTACACAGCTGCAGGAACAAATGCAGGAATGACAATTTGTAGATACAGAAACATCAGCGAGTATTAATGTCCAAACTACGGCTTTTATATATTTTTTCCATCGTTAGTTCACCTTAGAACTGACGATAATAACTCCTGTTTTTTTCTTTCCCTGAAATGTATGTGTTGCTCTGAGTCTTTCATGTGGCGAGTCTAACAGTTTGAGAAGTTATATTTCAGTTGCAGCTCTGATGATAACAAACCGAGCGGCATGGAGACACTAAACATTCATATGAAAATATGATTCAAAGCTATAACAACCCATTCATAATTGTACATCTTAAAAACTCAACTCACAACTGTAAGGGACGATATCAGAAAAAATAATGATTAACTTTACGGACTATTTAATGTAAAATCATGCAGGACACATGAAGTGTCTCTCTCCCTCCTCCCCCCTCACGATCAGATCCGGGAGCTCCACGATCAAAAGATCTGATTGGTCAGTGGGTGGAGGTTTCCATGGGTTGATCTCTTTTTTCTAACATAACCTGCTCCGGAACAGGTTAGGTGTGCAGCGTAAGTTACCGTGGCGATGTACCCTGGTAAGAAGTGAACCCCCCTCGTAGGATTGAAAACCCTGAAGTTACCTCGCTGACCCCAAATCCTGCTTTGTAGTACAGGCTGCTGGTCAGTGAAGAGAATGCAATATATGACAATATAATCAGCACAAAATGAAAGGAAGTATTACTAACAGCAGAGGACATGAGTATCAAAATTCTTCAACGCTGCCAAACAATACATGCTCAAATAAGAAGTAGAACAATACACAGAGTTGTGGGTATAATTAGGGAAATTCCTGGACATCTTCCCCTAATTTCAGGTATGTCCAGCAGCTAACCTGAGGTAGGAGCAGTCTGTTATCATCCACATAATCTTATACTCAATCTGCTTTGGCAACAAGCTCTGCTCACTGGATATGACATATTTTAATCTAATTCCTTCCATTCCATTGCATTGCTATTTTCAGACTCAACTCAGGCCAAATAAACACACCAGTGGACTTTAAAAGTCGTAGACAGCACTTTCCACACAAAGTAAAACATGCTCATACTGGAGTATTAGTCCCAAACGAGGAATAGGTTCAAAGAGAGATATTGCTGGAGATTAATAGGGGTTAAAATTAGTGCTGGGAATCTTTGGGTGTCTCACGAGTCGATTGAGAATCTATTTTCGATTCAAATTCAAAACGATTCTGGATTCATGATTCAAAGTCTATTTTGAAGTAGTACAAACTTCAGGATCTACTCCAGTCATCTGTGAGAATGGCTGAATTTCTCGCTCCTCCATTTGGCATTCTACTGAGTTAAAGAGCTAGCCTTAGCACTTAGCAGGGAGCGACTGATAAGCCAAAATAATGAATCGATTTTCTTTTGTGTTGAGATTATGACTCTGTATAAAATGTCAGAAGATAAGAATCTTGATTTTTACATAAATCAAATTTTCCCACCTGTTTTTTATGGTTGTTTTCTTTATTATGCATATCTTTTCCACAAGCGTATCTATATCTATCTATCTTTATTCTCTAAGGATCAAACATAGATCTAAGAAATATATCGGCATAAATTTTTCTTTTTTTCTCCCCAATATCGACATAGGCCAAATCATATCGGTCGGGCCCTAAAAACAACAACACTGATATAACAAATAGTTGGTCATCCACACATCCTAGATCTCTATACTGATATAATTACATGTAAATTCATATGACAGTGGATCAGTTATCACCTCTCAATGTAACAACACAAACAATTTTTCCTAACATTGCTCAAAATTCCCTGCTCTTCAATTTAGTGAGAAAGTCACTCTCTTCAAACCTTCAACTTCACTATCTCTCCAGTCCGGCTTTGTTGGAGGTTTGGACTCTAATCATTTTCATGTTACTGTTTTGATAAAGATAAAGATAAACTTTATTGATCCCCCATGGGGGACATTTTTTTGTCACAACAGCTCAAGAAACAGGAATATAATTATCAAAAATAACAAGATGTTAAAAATCAAATTATGTACATCATTTTTTTTATTTTATTGCTGGCATGCTTATAAAATCTTTATCAGATATGTATCCTACACTGAAAAGTGAGCTGCAGTGTTGCCCAGGTAAAGAGTTGAAAAAGAACAATCAATAACAACTCCAAAAATATCTTGTTTTGCCTGTTTTACCTCCTGCCCGTATGGCAGAAATGCAGGGTAAAAGATAAAGTGATTATTGTTAAATTCATAACTTTAGAGGGGAATTAGATGAACAGTGATTGACTTAAAACATTGGATTTAAAGGTTGCAAGTCAGTCCCTTAAAGAGCAAAAGTAAAGTTGTATCGGCCTAGGTGGTTTCCAGGTGTGGATGTGTGACTCATTGCTGTCAGTGGGAATTACCAGAGTAAATAAAGGTTTAAAAAAAATATGTCAATGTGTTAATCCCGTCATGCACAATGCTTCAGCACTCAACCAGAGTCTGGATGTTCAGTCTGGAACATGTTTGTTATTACTATCGTTTCCAAATGAGTGAACCACGTAATCCGCCTCTTTGTGACTGTGTTTCCAACTTTGTTTCTAAATTTTTTTTTTTTTTTTTTTTTTTTACCTCCACAGTCATACATTTTGTGCAGTTCAGTAGCGACAGGCTCATTTGTCATTGGCTTCTCTGCTTTGTGCCCCCGCAGCTGCCTTCCTGACTCAGACAGTATGTTTGGACGACACAACAGTCAAGTTTGAAATCTGGGACACAGCTGGTCAGGAGCGCTACCACAGTCTGGCTCCCATGTACTACAGAGGTGCCCAGGCAGCCATTGTGGTGTACGACATAACAAATGAGGTGAGTCAGGTGCCAAGTTCTCCGTCATGCAGTTTCTCTTATCAGCACTGCTGTCACCAACCAGAACTGGAACAGCACCGACTATGTTTGCATGCACTTTGCAGAGAAGACAAAATTACTACTAACTGTTGTAACTGTTATTGAGTATGCATAATCCACCAAAGTCTCTCTCCTATCATAGACCTGTATACCTTAGTCGTGCTAAATGATGTTTAGTTAGTCGTACAACAAGCAGAGCGGACCTCAACAGACAAGAGACAGTTTTTGTCACACAGACTGTGAAGCAGATTCTGACTGAACGGATGTCCACAAAAGCTCCGGAAAACTCAAAACTATAAGCCAATCCCAGTTGGATAAAAATAGTCTCTGAATGCCACACTTGCTTAAGGCCGTTCTTTAAATATCCAAATGTTTCATTCTGTTTCATGACCCTCGTATATCGTCATGTATATTGTTAGTAGTAGTGGAGAACTTCATAAGAAATTCTACAGTCTTATCAATGATGCAGTGACAGCAGTGGTTTCCACTCAAAGATATTCTGAGTATTAGTCAACCTTTTTATAGTATCTAACCTAACTAAAAGATGAGTCATCAGCGATGAGTCCTCACTTAACAACACACTGTTTTGTATTCAGTTTGTCGTACCTATGCGTGATATAATGGTCACTTGTACACATCACAAGAACATGTTCAAACATACATCCAACCTTCACAACAGGCTGGCTCTTGCTGACCATCATCCTACATGGTTGGCTTGTGTGGGGGCCAGAAGTGGCCACATGGTAGAGTAGGTAGTATCTGTGTTGTCATTACCTGAAGCTCGCATCAGCAAAGCCGAGATCTGTGGAAGGTGGCAATGCTGTTTTGGTTGCAGTGGCAACGAATGGCCTGTAGTGTAGGTTATGTAACTCATCAGTCGGGCATAGTGGCAAAATTTGGATGAGGGATGTCTTCACCTTGTGTTTATTTCAAATCGGCAAGTAGATCTCAGAGGGCCACACAACACATGGCGAGTAAAATAGTCACATAAAAGAAAAAAAAATGCTGATTTGATCAAGCTGTTGGCGTAGCTGCTCCTCTTCTGTCTGCATGTCAGAGCCTCACAGGCGTGTGTTGACTCACCCAAACATACACACACACGTACATACAGGAACACCAGTCACCACACACACACCACAGTAATCCTGCTGCAACTGGTCGTCTGCTAGCTATCGTCAGTGGTAGGCTAACTGACAAGTTAATATGTGGCAGCGATTACAAGGTGTCAGCTAACCCTTTGTATCATTTAGAGAAGAGAAATAAAACATATGATTCACCAGTTGTTGTTTTTTTTTTTAATCTACTCACCACCATGGCCTTCTGACACTTGAAGAGAACCTGAGCAAAGCAAATCTGGAAAATAGGGATCCTTCAATTTGTTACAGAATCTTTCAAAGACAAGGTCTTGAATAAGGAGAGTCGGAATTGAAAAATCCTGTATTGCTGTTTTGCCTTTTGCATGGCAGAATAGCCTTAATCTAAGTCTTATACTGTATTATGTCAACTGCTGATACCTCATCATTATGTACCCGCGCTGAAGATATTTGATTCACATTTCATCAGACTGTCTTTAAAGCGAGTCTCTGGACCTTGAACAGATAAGAAAAGCCAAGTCAGAAATGAAGAGAAGACCACCTGGCTGTCCTCATCTTTCCACCACATGGATCTTATTTTTATTTGCACTAACTGAGTCACCCTCCTCCTCCTCCTCCTCCTCCTCCTCCTCCCCCTCCTCCTCCTCCTCCTCCCTTGTTGTGTTTGCCAGGAGTCATTTGTGCGGGCGAAGAACTGGGTTAAAGAGCTCCAGAGACAAGCCAGTCCAAACATTGTAATAGCTCTGGCTGGGAACAAGGCTGATCTCGCAAACAAGAGAGCGCTGGACTTCCAGGTTTGTCTTCTTTTAATCCTCGCTAATTAACTGTGAACAGACGCAGAACACTCATTAGAAAGAGACCAAAGGTGTCAGTGTCTGTTTGGAGGTCGTCTGCTGGAAGAGTAAGACGACGTGTGACCTGTCGTGTTCTTGGTACACGCCCACTTTGCCTCCTCTGCGTGTGGTTTTGTTGTCCGTGCAAACTGTGAGGTGCTTTCCCACCTGCCACAGCTAGAGACGTGTTTGTTAACGTGTGAGGTCATTTGAATTAATTGATGGTGTTGCTTTCTCTTTCACAGGATGCACAGTCATACGCAGACGATAACAGCTTGCTTTTTATGGAAACATCAGCAAAGACCTCTATGAACGTGAACGAGATCTTCATGGCCATCGGTAGGTGTCTCTTGAATATTTTATACACCATCAACTTCTTTTTTTTTTGTCAAAGTTATAATTTTGATAGGACAGCTGAAGAGCGAGTGGGAATGAGAGAATGGGGGGGATGACATGCAATAAAGGTCAAAGGTCGGATTCGAACACATGCTCGCTGCAACGTGGACTATAGCCTCTGCATATGGGGTGCTCAACATAACTGCTAGTCTGTACTTTGTGTTTTATTTTTAAATTGACCAGATCCCTATGCGTTCCCTTGTCAGACTCTCTGTCTGGTTCAATCTGCTCTATTTAGCCTGCAGCAAGCTAAGTTGAGAAGTAGACTTGTGCTTTGAGGCGCGTGAAGTGTTAACATGAGCATCGACTAGAGAGTGTGCGATCCGCCCCAGAGTGCACAGCGTAAAGCACGCGCTGCCACAGATCCTGTGGAATCTGCCCATTAGGACACTGAGCGGTGAAAACACTGAGCTGCATTGATTTGTGTAGAAAACGGATGGTCCGAGTACAAAATCCAGCATCAGTGGACACAGGCCTTCATGTCATCTCTGATGTTGTTGCTTTGTCACTGCAGCAAAGAAGCTTCCCAAGAACGAGCCTCAGGCGGCCGGAGCCGGCAGCGGGCGGAATCGAGGAGTGGACCTGACAGAGACGGCTCAGCCCAGCAGCCGCCCCTGCTGCAGTAACTAACCCGGCTCTTCCTGCTCATCCTCACCCTACACACACACACACACACACACACACACACACACACACACACATACCCCTTCCCTCCTGCTCCCCCTCCTCCCCCATCTGAACATCTGGACATCGGGCTCCCTGGCTTCCTGACGTCAGACCTCACTCCCCTGGAATAGCATAAAGACTCTGTATAGCTGCATTTCTAATACCTTTTTTTTTTGTTTGTTTTTCTGTTGATGTTCTCTTTTTTTCTTTTTCCTTTTTTTTTTAAACTTTTTTTAAGAAGTGTATATCAGTATAATGGATGCATGTATCACTACAACGCCTAAAAAACAACACATTTTATTTCTTCTTCAATTGAAAGACTACCCCCCCCTTCCCACACATTTAGGAAAGACGAGCGAGAGAAACACCTTTGAACGTGTGAGTGTGTTGTGTGTTGTGTGTGAATTTTTCTGCGGATGGGAAGGTGTGGTCCTCATTTGTTACTTCACAGGGTCGACTAAAATAAACGACGACTGTCCTGTAATACAGAATAAGTGTGCAGGTTGAGTCATGCTCACAATCAGGAGAAAACCAAATTGTCAACAGTCAGATTTTTTCTGACTGTTGTGGAAGCCGAGAATCTGTTACACGAGAAGACGTCGTAATCCGAGGAGTCTGATGGAAAGTGCTGGAAAAAACTGAACTGTCTGAAAAAATAAATACACATCTGGCTTCCCGTTATGTGCAAACATCTGTACATTATATCACACAACAAAGTCTTCGAGGGCTGGAAAAACATGGAGCAGAATCATCAGGAACTACGATTTAACGAGAGGCTGCTGAACGAGGACGTGAACTGGGGTTGGGTGATTTTCTTTCCATGTTAACGTTTAAGTATTCCTTCATGTCGTGGTATCATAAAGTCCGTCACAGAAGCCTCCAGAGGTCAAAATCTGACACTGATTCAGAAAAAGAAAACAAACAGCGAACCCTGAAGACTGTTGGAACAACCTGCTCGCAAAGACTGTTAACATTCGGCTCATTGCGTCAAACTTGTCTTTGTAAAATTTGCTCTGTTTCTGTTCAGGCCAGTAGTCAGACCGCATTAATGTGGCCGATCTTCATCAGAGCGTGGGAGGCGGGCGGCGGCGGGGGGCGGGGCTTGTTTTTAGAATAGAGTTCAGACGGCAAGAAACAGATAATTGGACTAGTTCCCATCGTCACACAAAAAAAAAAAAACTCTAATGTTGTTATAGGGGTGCAATGTCGTCTTCTTCCTGGAAATGATTAGAGATTCTGAACAATTGTACAGTTCAACATAGGTCTGCTTATTTTATTTTGATCTCCATCCTCGTCACAAACTGGTCAGGTGTTAAGTCGTGGTGGTCTTTTTTTTTTTCTTTTTTTTTTTTTCAGGTCTATGTAGTGTTATTAACAGAATCCCTCTCTGGTGTCTTGTTACTTTGCTCGAAGAAATGGTCCATGGTCATGTTTGAAAGGAACTTTTATTGCATTGCACAGTGTTGATCATGTTTGAATTAATGACTGCCCTTCGATTTTATACGACGGACTGTATTGGACTCTGCTAACCTCCGGCTATAAGCAGGTAGCATCATTAACCTTACAGCTCAATGAATTTTAATGATGTAAAACAACATTACTAGTGATGGGCTGCTGATCAGTTTTGAGTGTCTGAATACAACTTAATAAATTCAATAAAGAGGTCTCTTGTACGCCTTTTTGTGCTCAGTGGCATCACATGTATAGGGGTTTTTGTTTTTGCATCTTCTTAGAATATGTTGTTTATTGAGACCAAATATCCTGTTAATCACTGAGAGGTTTCTTTATTTGGTCCTGACACGACAGTCACATCCACAAACTCGGAGCAGATCTGAGCTTCAAGGTTCTCACAGCCCTCAAAGAAATGTTTAAAATTCATAACAAGAAGTTCAGTAAGTAGAAAAAAAGAAATTTAACCCTTTACCCACAGAGGTCACTACAGTGAACAGCTATTTAAAAGCTGCTTCGTCTACTAGATGCCTTTTGATGGAATAGTTTCACATCAGCTGCTTCAGTGGATTAGCAAGTCATCTCATACGCTGCTACCTACTGGCCAGCTGTAGTAAGTGTACCCAAAATCTATTCTTTTGGAACATAACAATGAGTAAGGTCGTCTACCTGCTTTTTGTAAAGTTTCTTGAGATAACATTTGTTATGATTTACAGACTATACGGACTATCCAAATAAAGATTGATTGATCTAACATCCTCTTAAAATCATCCAATGAGAGCAGCTTGTTAAGTTTCAGCTCTTTTTGTGATTCGTTCCAACTAAAGGGAAACTTAAACCCATTTTTTCCCCCAGTTCACAGAACAGACGTACAAAAAGATCCTGCAGGGACTTTTAAGATTGTTAGTTCCTCATACTCTTCTGACTGATGTAGGTCAGAAGAGTATGAAGGAAGCAGACTAAAACAGATCTTTAGATAACAATACATCAGTGTTTACTGCGTGTGGATGAGGTCATCGTCAGGGTTTGTCTGCTTGATTGTTTTTGCCATAAACATCACACTGAGTCATTTCATTTTGGACATTTGTTTATTTTTGGATAAAAGTCGAGACCTTTCCATACACAAGTGACTCAAAGTTTGATTAGAAGATCGGGACATAAGGTAGTCACTAAATTATAATTGGACAGTGATAATGACGCAGTGATTCATCTACTCTGACTTGTAATCCAAAGGACGAAAGACTGACGAGAACTCCACCGCAGCTACTTCATACGTATCCAGCTTCCTCTGTAGCTAAAGCCACAAGGGTTCAAATTATATTTGTATTTAAGGTGAATGATTTTTGTCAAACTGTCAAGGCAAGGCAAGTTTATGTCGACTGAATAAAAAGCCTTTTGATGCAGCGGTACCTCGGCACCACGTCTCCTACTTCCTTGGTCTTTCTCTGCTGTCTCTGTCAGGGTTGAACATTTCTGATCCATGTCCTCTTGTCGCCTTTTCTCCCACTTCTTGGCTGTGTTCTTTAAAAAAAAACAAAAAAAAAACACTCCTCGTCCTCAAAGTCCTGACCAGACGAGTCCTCTGAACTCATCTCCGCTGACCTGATCACATTTGGCTGAGGCTCAAATCCCTGTGCAGTAAAGAACGTCTACTCTTGACAATAATGGCCCTTACAAGCTCATTACCCGGCCTGTTCATCCAGCACCACCTACACATCACCAGAGGACAAAGAGAGAAAGAGAGAGCAGTGGAGAGGCTGCAGAGCTGATCGATAAGTGATTAAGCTCAGATCTATAAAGTGGAGAGGACCTCCGGAAGCCTTGATGATGTCCTTTTACCACAGAGAGTATAAAAGAAGAAGACGCAGCCTCTGGGGTTTAAAGTGAAGCAAAGGAGGAAGTGCATTTTAACCTGTCTTCTCTCTAACAGCCACCAGGGGGCGACCTTGATGGTTGCAAAAGGAGCTTCAACTGTATAGAAGTCTGTGAGAAAATTGTGCCTGTACATCTCCTCTGAATGATTACAGCAGAAAACATTTTCAGAATTTGGTTCATGATATGAATAGCTTGTTGAAAGTCTTCTTCATTTATGTTTTTAAATGGTCCCATTTAGAGTAAATCAAATACAAAATGGCAACGTCCAAACTAACAAACTTGAGGCTTCAAACAAATAGTCAATGAGCGTGTGTGTATTCATCCTCAATATTTGAAGGTGTCCTTTAATGTAAGACAGATGGTTACGTTTCCACAATTCTGAAAGCAGCATTCTAAGCAGACGCTTTTATCCAAAGCAACGTACATCAGATCGTAAGTGAGAGGAGGAGACAATGTCAGGAAGTGCAAACGAACAGCTTTATGTCTGATCGGTGCACACAGGTGCTGACAGGAATTGACCAGAGGTGCTGACAGGAAGTGACAAGTGGCAAGTGAATTAAGAAAATTATTTATAACAATGAATAACATGGAAATGTGGCTTGACAGAAATACTTTGGCGCTTGGACTCTATGGGGTGGGTGATGTGTTTGGAGAGCGTCGACATAATAAATCCCCCGATGGAGTCCAGATCCTGGTGATGGTGAATTTGATGACTTGATGAGACCGGGTGGGTGAAGAATTGTTGGATGATGATTCTGTGAAGACGGGCGTTGATGGAGAGGTGGACGGGCGCACGAAACGTCAGCATGAAGGAACTAAAGGCAGAGAATAAAATGTGCGCAGAATGATGATAGGCTGAAAATGACGGAGGGAAGCCATGCCATTGGTTAGATGAGTACTGCTGACGAGACAGCCAATGACAGCCCAAAATGACAGCTCGAGAATGACAGCTCTGTTGTTCCTGAAAGATGTTTGTTGGTATTGATTAAGCAGCCTTTTTTTCTGCTGCTGAAAGGTGTCTCAAAAAAACAGGTAATGGAAGTTTAAATTTCACAAACAGCAGAAACAAAAACTTCCAGCTTGAAATGCTGAGTCTATTTTTATTATTATAATTTGTGTCTGGTGTCAAATCTGTGTACCGCTGTTTCAAAGAGTCACAAAGAGAAGTGAGCCGCAAGGTGTCAGAGAGGAGCAGGAGTAAGACTACTTTAAAAGCATTTTATCATTGAGATGCACGCTTTGTGAGAGAGAGAGAGAGCTTCAGAGAGGAGTTACTTTCCCACCTCTGCACTCTTTTGTTTGCTGCATGATGCCTACTTGCTTGTCAGATTTTCAATTTGAGACGTTTCAGATGCTTTTCAAACATCCAACGAGCTCTAGATTGAAGCATATCCAAGTTATTTCCATCAAAGGCAAACATTGATAAGAAAAAAAACCCCTCAGGATGGCCTTTTTTGTAAGAAATTCGTTTTTGGCAACTGCTCGTTTGAAGATATTAAAGTCTTTTAAAGCGACTTTAGCTCTTTGATGACCTTTGCACAGTTTCCCTGGCAACGACATCACATTTTGAACTGTGCAGGATGTGACTGTCTGCAGCCTGACAGAGAGCAGAGTTAAGAAAAAAACTAAAAAATTGTATTCACATTTGGATGTCAAAGCTTTGAACTTTGAACAAGTTTGAACGTTAAAAACTGCACCAAAGTTTGACATTTTAAAGGAGCAATATGTAACTCTGACACCTATTGATTAAAATTGGTACTGCAGTCCAAATTCTAAACATTGCAGAGAGCTGTCTCCCCCCGTCCCCTCCTCTCTAGAGTCGATGCTCACACAGGTTGCCATGTGGTGGACACTGAAGCTTCAGTGTTTAGCCAGCTCTGCATCGGTCTGTTCTAACCTCTAGTGGTTAGTGCATGCACCCCATGTACAGAGGCTAAAGTCATCCAAGCAGGCGGCCTGGGTTCAAATCCGACCTGGTGCTCCTTTCCCGCATGTCATTCCCCACTCTCTCTCTCTCTCACTCTCTCTCCTCGATTTCTGACTTCTACTGTCCTCTCTCTGAGTAAAACGTTTGAAAAATACTTCCATGCAGGTGAATTTTGCATTTTAGTGGATTTCTGTTGATAATAAGTTGTCCTTCCAAACAAACAAACCAGGAAGTTTAATGAGATTTTTGCTGTCCTTTATTTCTTTTAATGATGTCGAGTACACTTTAAAAACTTGCACATTCTGACTGATCAGATCATAAAGGTTCAAAACAGCATTCCCTCTGGTGTCCATGTGGGGGCAGCAGTGCACCGTATCTTTGTGTTGAATAGTCCCAGCAGTCCAAACATCTTTGGGGGGAAAAATGTGCCAGAAAACGGAATCATTCATTCTCTTACAAAACGGAGTCATTTGCACTTAAAATGTTGGCGCGCTGGATTGATCTCCAATTTTCACAACTCATCAGCTTCAGCAGCAACATGTGTAGGGCCTGATGTTGGAAATGCTGCATGAGAAAGTTATTTCAATTGATGTTGTTGCTCTGTTGTTTTAATGGTTTTTAACACTTGAACCAAAAGAGAATAATTTTCTAATTGATGCCAACACTGAAAAGTTTTAGTATTTTAGTATTTTCAGCCCTGACAGAGCAATAGTGGTGTGCACAGACTGGAAAGAGAGAAAATATGCAGAACAAGTCGAGTTGGTACAACGCCCGAAGCAAACCAGTCATCCAATGAGTCACTGACTGTGTTTACACGGGCAATAATGTGATTGTTTTCTTCTAGTTTTGCAGAAACTTTGGTTTGTAAGTGATCATTAGTGGTGGGTTTACACTGCACTTATCACATATCACTTAAACTAAACACTATGTTTGTTTGTTTGTACCGTCAGAAACATAAAACCTTAAGTGACCCAGATGACATTTATTTGAAATAAACTGAAATCTGTTGTTACAAAGAGATTCATGAATGTACTTAGACTACAGTACTTGCGTACTTTGTGAACATTTGTGGTGTGCATGTTGTGCTTAACCTTTTATTTAAAACATATTTTTTGGGCCTTTTTGCCTTTTTTTAGAGAGGACAGCTGAAGAGAGACAGGAAATGTTGGGAGAGGAGAGCGAGGGATGACTTGCAGCAAAGGGCCGAGGTCAGACTTGAACCCAAGTTGATCCTGCAACGAGGACTACAGCCTCTGTAAATGGGCCGCTTATCTTTTACTTTTTATTTTATTTTACTTACTTTATTAATCCCTGAGGAAAACTCTGCTTTACTCTCTTATCTTGAGCGACATGCTTCTCACACACTGGTGCACAAACAGGACCTGTGAACATGCACTAGTGGAGAGATGTCAGAGCGGTGCT